CAGGGTCCCTCTCATACTCCCTTCTGCCCTCCTCCAGGGTCAGCTGAGTGCTGCCCTCTTGATGATTCTACATTAGGAAATCATCGAGACCAAAATCTTGGATTGTTCCAAATTCCTCTTTGCCTCCCCAGTGACCCAGCTCCGGACATGACTCTCCCAGAAGTCAGTGTGGAGAACAGTGGCTAATCTGACCAGGGAGAGCACACGGGACTCAGAGTTAGTTCACTTCGAGTCTCACTCCTGATTGTAGACCCCACCCTGGATTGCACCAATTCATGCAATCCTCTGGAGGAGGTGCCTTGGCCTGTCTGGGCCTTCACTTGCTCATTCAAGGCAGCATGGGATGGGAATGCTTCTAGTGCTGTGGTTCCAACACTCCCTGCCCATGGCTGGGCACATGCAGGCCTACACAGGTGTGAACAGCCAAGGAGCTAGGTGCACATGGACACTGTTCTGCAGGATTAGCCCTGATATCCAATGAGGACCTGCCTACCCAAGGTATCCCAGGCCAGGCAGGGAGAGGGGGCAGGAGTACTGGCCCAGTGCAGGAAAAAGCACAGGAGATGCAGCCCAGGGAAGCCCATTAGACGTAACATAAGCTTTTGTAGCTTCAATTTCCCCATGTCTGGTGGTAAAGCACATCTGAAGTCAAGCAGATTCACAGCCTCTCCTTTTCTTTTTTTTTAAAGATTTTATTTATTTATTCATTAGAGTCACCTAGAGAGAGGCAGAGACACAGGCAGAGGGAGAAGCAGGCTCCCTGTGGGGAGCCTGATCAGGACTGGATCCTAGGACCCCAGGATCACCTGAGCCTAAAGCAGACGTTCAACCACCGAGTCACCCAGGCGCCCCAGAACCTCCCTTTGAAGGTAACACAGACAAGCCGGCCGTGAGTCCCGCTGTGGAGTCCTGTGATCCAGGGCCTGCTCATCCCTCTGCAGCTCCGCGTGGACAGAACTGCCCCTCCCCCCCCATACCATAGCCCTGGATTCCAAACTGTTCTTTCATAACCAAGCCCTCATTCTGTGCTGTCAGCTGCCCCAGAGACCTCCATGTGTCGCCCATTTGACCTCACAACCATTCCTTGGGGAAAGGGCTTGCCATGGTCATCGTACACTTGAGGAAAGAAGGGCTCAGAAGAATTAAGGGCTTTGTCTAAAGTTACACCGCAAAGCAGCGGCAGAGCTGGGACTGAAATCTGGCACTGGGGCTCCTAGGTCCACAGGCCCCAGCTGTGTCATGGTTTAAGGCTGCCGTAGGGGGGACAGACAAAAATGGTAACGAGATACAACAGTGGGACTCACTCCCTGCGGGCCCCCTGGGAACACTGACATGTGCCATCCCTTTCAATCCTCACCATTTTGGTAAGAAAGGCAAATTTATGTCTCAGGGGCAGAGGCCAGGTTCAAACCTGGATCATGCAAATGATTTCAGTTGAGGGAGAAGGAGGACCCAAGCTTCGTGCCCACGGGGAGGACAGTGGCCCTCCAGGGAGCCTGAAGCAGGGTGGAGGTGGTAAAGGACGGAGCAGGTAAAATTTGACAACCTTTCAACAAGTCAAGAGGTTTCTCTCTTCACATTACTTCCTCTAACTTCTTATCAGTCCTAAGCACTATTGTGTTGTGTAGGGATTTTTTGGTTGTTGGTTTTTTTCTGTTTTTGTTTTTGTTTTTGTTTTTTTTTTTTTTTTTGTACAGAGACACTTGACAAAACATGCCCGGAGGAAGTAAATCCTTAACCTCCTTCCTCTGGCTGAGCCCTGTCTCTTATCTTCCTTCCGCAAGGCTCTGAGGACCCATCGCTGGCCCACTCCTGAGCTCTGGCTGCCCCCCAGGCCAGGGAAGCCGGGACATGTCCGGGACATGTGGGCATGTCCATCATCATATCCCTGGGGCCAGCACAGCACCTGGCACGCAGTAGCCACATGGTGCATACTCCCTGAATGGTCTCCTTTGACTCAATCACGGTTCACTGGGTACTTTCTATGTGTTATGCACTGTTGTTCTGAGGTAAGTGAGCAAAGGACCAGCCAGAAGGGAGTCTCAGTGAGAGTGGGGGCCCGATAAAACTCTCAGTCCCCCCTTAGATACTTCTGAGAATAATGTGGAGAATGAATGAGTAACAACTTTTCAGGACCACCATGAAGGAAAGAGGCGAGTCCGGTGGGAATACAGAAATAGGAACCACTGATCTGCCTGGGGAGTCAAAGAAGGCTTTGCTGGTGGAGGATGTGGTATTATTTCAGACGTGAAGGATGAGGAGTTTGCCTTAAAGACAAGAGGAAAGAGGAGCATTCCAAGCAGAGGGGCCAGTATGAGCAAGGGCATGAGGATGTAGGATTACTGTTTGGGGTTGGAGCCAGCGACAAAAGATGCCCCTTTGGGACCAGGCCACATATCATGTATTTCCCAGGGGCTAAGGGTGGGTGGCTTCCCAGAGGGATTGAAACATGAATCACAATGAATCGAAGAGAGAGAAAAAGAGCCTGAGGTAGGAGTTATAATTAATAGGTTCATCCTATTAGACTTCATTTAGATTCGCTCTCCTGTAGAGACAGTGTGATTAAGCATCTCGGTAAGTGCATTTCCAAAAGCATCGGTGGAAATCTAGGGCCCAGGTGCCAATCACCCCGGGTTTGGGCGGCCAGGAAGGAGCAGGGGTATCAGCCAGCGTGTGCATCACCCGTAGCGCAGGTCAAGCGCCCGGAGTGTCTCCTGGCACGGAGCAGAGGCTCCCAGCTCAGTGCCACGGCCGCGGTCCCTCCCCTCCCGGCCGGGTCTCGCGTCCCGCGTGTGCCCTGCCCGGGAGGGAGCGCAAGCCGAGGCGGGAGGGCGGCCGGAGGAAGGAGCTGCTTCCGACCCCGGCCTCAGGCGCCACCAGGTGCGGCGGCCGCAGCCCGGCTGGGGAGGCCCGGCTCCAGCCGTCGCCCCTGCTCTCAGCCCACGGCCCGCTCAGCTTTGGGAATTTTCAGGCCTGGAGGGAAAGTCCCTCGAGAGGAGTATTAGGGCGAGAGCGAGCGAGCGCCGGATCTGCCTGGAGAGCGCGGAAGGAAGGAAAAGGGGAGCCGCGGCTCCGGGCGGCGGGCGCAGGGGGGGGGCGGGGGGGGCGGTATGGGGGAGGGAGGGCGCGAGGGCGGGGGGCGGGGGTCGCGCGGGGCTGGGGGGCGCCGGGGGACGGGGGTCAAGGGGGAGGGAGGGCGCGGGGCGGGGGGGGGCGCGCGGGGCGGGGGGCTAGGGGAAAGGGGGGCTGGGGGCAGGGGGGAGGGAAGGGGAAGGCGGGCGGGGTCGGAAGGCCGCGGGGGGCCGCGGGGCGCGGGGGGAGCGGGGGCTGTGGGGAGGGAGGGCGGGGGCGGGGGGGGGCGGGGGGCCTCGCCCCTGGCGGAGGCCGGGCGCGGAGCACGGCGGGCAGGCGCGGCGAGGAGCGCGGGGGGCCGGGCGGCGGGGGCGGCGGGGGCGGCGGGGCGGCGGGGCGGGGCGGCGGGGCTCCCGAGTGTGTCTGCGTCGGGTGTGCGGCCGTGCGCGCGCGCGTGTGTGTGTGTGCGCGCGCGCGCGTGTCGGTGTCTGTGTGTCTGTTTGGCGCCTGTCCAAGGTGATTTCCCATAAACCACATGCCCCGCGAGTCCGCTTAAAAGGCTGTGCCGAGGAGCCGGCGGCGGAGCGGGGCCACTGGAAAGTGAAAGTTGCCTGGCGCCGGGCGCCGCCGCTCCCCGCACCCCCGGACGGCAGCGCGGCCCTCGGCCGGGGCGCGGGCTCCTCGGCGGCAGCGAGCGGACGAGCCGGGGCGGCCGACGCGCCGGCCGGGACCCAGCTGCCCGCATGACCGCGCGGGGCGCCGCCGGGCGCTGCCCCCCCACGGTAAGCGGCGGCCGCGGGGCGGGGGGCGGCGGGGCGGCGGGGCGGCGGCTGCTCGGGGGCCCTGCCCGCGCGCCGGCCCGCGACGCTCCCCCGCCGGGACCGCGGGCGCCGACGTCCTCCCAGGCTGGCTGCGGGCTGCCGGGTCCCGGGCGCGCCCCGGTCGAGGGCCGGGGCTCCCCGCGGCGGCTCCCGGGGCTGCGGGAGCTCCCCGGGAAGCGGAGGCTGCTCGTCCCATTGCACGGAGGCGCACACTGAGCCGCCCGCTGGCAGCGGAGAGGGCTTCGCGCGGCCAGGGCTCTGTCTCAGCCCCGCGCGCGCGAGCCCCTGCCCCTGTCGCCTCTGTGCGACACCACCAAGAGACGGGCGCCCTGGCTGTGGGCCGAGTGTGGCACCTTCCCGGGGGCACCCTCCCCGTGGGCCACACACACGCTTCGAGGTCTGGCTGGGAGTGGGCGCTTCTGGGCGGGTGCCGTCCCGGGGTCACCCAGAAGGCCAGGGCCTGTGCCCAGGAACCTGCTGGCAGAAGGACGGAGCCAGGCAAGCCGCTACTTGTTCCAGCACAGGGGCAGGAGCTACCGGGGGACTCGGGTGGCCCGATCAAGTCTATTTTGCAGGGGACTGGACTCCAGGGCTGCCTGGGGCTAATTTTGAATTTTTTTATTGCAAAATCTGGTTCCGTCAGCTGGGGAGGTCCCGGGCTTAGCAGTGCAGAGGAAGGTGGAAAGGGGTTCAGTGGTGCAGTCTTAGGTGTGCTAGGGGCTGCTCTGGGCTGCTTGGGTGATGTCTGGACCCAACTGTGAGCACAAGCGGGGTGGCTCCTAGGAAGCAGGGTGGCACTGTTGGTGAACAGTCCGGTGCTCTCCCAGTAGGTTTACTTCCAAGGAGCACTAGAGGAGAATGGGAGGAAACCTGGCTGGGAGAGAAGCAGACAGATATTTGGAGGGGAATGGGAGGGGGTTGCAGGTGGGGTTGAGAGAAGGGGAAGAGCAAGTCCACAGGGGAGGAAGAGCCCAACTCAGAGAGAGGAGACAGGGATGGGAGAGGAAATCGTGGAAGGGGAACTGATAGGCAACAAGACGAAGATAAAGGCTCCAGGGAGACCAGGAGGAAAGTAAAGATGGGCAGATGAGGGGCGGGGGGGCAGTGGGGGCTGGTTCTAGACAGGAGCAGCTGGAAATTCTGATCAAGCCCATCAGGCAGAGGTCCCTCCAGAGCCCCCGTTGATGAGGACGATGGGACAGGTGAGGCTGGACAGTGGGGCTGAGATGTCTGTGGGCCTACAGAAGAAGGAGCCTTCCTGGCTGTCCCCAAGGCTGAGGCTGGTGGGTGGAAAGAAGAATGGAGGGGAGAAGAGCCAGCCCAGCCACTTGCAAGCTAGAATGTTAACCCTTGGGTGCCCATCCAGCTCCTCCTCAGAGGCAAAACTAGGACCTTAGGGGCAGGCCAGGGGAGGGCCTCTTCAGCCACCTTCAAAGTCAGCTTCCCACGTGGTGGCTACACTCTCTTCACAGCAATGCCTGACATAGCTCAGAAAGCCAGGCAGCCCTTGAGTTACGCTGTCCTCAGACATCAATATCTTGAAGTGTCTATGACAAGGCTGTCTTCCTGAGTATCCCCTTTCCCGCGGGTTCTGTCCTCCATACTGTCTAAAACTGGGGGCTCACAGGCTTGTGGCAGCCGGCCGGGAACAGAGACACATCTTCTGCACCGTCCGGTTTCCAGCGGGTCCTGCAGTAAAGGTACCGGAGAGCCTGGGCAGCTGTTCCCACCCAGGGCTACCTCTTCTACTGCCCAGCAGGGCCTGAAGTCCCCCCCATGACCGTCCTCCCTCTTCTCCACCCTCCCTCCCCTAGATCAGGCCAGGACCCTCACCAGATCCCTGTTACAGAATGGCCTTGGACCATCCCATGCCTCTTCCCTCTCTCTGCCATCAACATCTCATCATTTCCAAGGCCTCAGTGCGGCCTCTCCTCCCTGATCCTCCCTGGTAGCCTGGCCAGGGCCTCTCCCCTCTGGTAGCAGCTAACAAACTTTTGGGGTTTTATGTCAACCAGCATGTTGTGCTGTTTCCTAGCCCTCCTTGTTTTTCCAATGTACTGATTATCTGTGGCATTTGTGTCATCATCTGGTTACTGAGGCAGAGCCCAGAGCACAGGAAGGTACCAGCTCTCACCCCACCTGACAGCATTTCCCTGAATCTGGGGACATCCAGCTGCCAGGAGGCAACCTTGAGCTGGGGAAGGAAAGCTCTAGAGTCCCTCTGTCCCTGCCTGGAGAAGGGGAGCTCTGGGTCAGGGAGAGGGCTAAGGAGACCCCGGTTGAGGAGGAGGGAGAGAGGAAGGAAGGGAATGATGGCAGGGGGTGGTCAGGGGCCAGTCCCAGTGCTCTGAGGGTGGGCAGCTCATGGGCCAGGTGGGAGCTGAAGGAGGGGAGATCTCAGGAAACTTCCTGGTCATGATAAGAGCTGGCAGCTTGGAGGCAGAGCCTGATGGGGCTCCAATAGGCAGGATGGCCTCGAGCCGGCACTGCCACCCCTGATTAAGCAGTTGGGCTCCTTTTGACACACACACCCACAGCTCCAAAAGGTCTCCAGCATGGGATAAGTTCCCAGTGAAACTGAGTTTGGGGCCCTGGTTTTTCCAGTAGCAGAGCCAGACCTGTGTGGAACCAGGTGGGAGGAAGGGCTGGTCCTAGGGAAATCATCTCTGGCTTGAAGTCTGGAAGTGGGTGCATGAACATGAACTTGAGAGGAGTGGACAGCCCACAAGATGTCTGGCTCGGTGTTGCATGTCACAGGGACACAACAATGAGCAGATGCAAGTCCTGTGCTCGAGGAGTGTCCTGTGTAATTGAAATTTAGACTCATAGGAACACCTTCCATATCCTCGTGAGAAGTTCAGTGTGGGATCAAGCTTGGCCTGGGTTAATCAGGGAAGGCTTCTTGAAGAAGATGACACGTGGGTTGTCGAGGGAGAGCAAGACAGTGCATGCCAGTGAGGAAATCTTGGGAAAGCTGGATTCAGGGACCACTGCATCCTGGGGTAAAGGGCAGAATCTGGAGCATTGTAGGTATGAGGTCCTTGGTTTTCCCCTCTCCGCAGGGCATGGGGGTTCCTGGGGAGACAGAGAGATGGGAATAATGACGCACTCTCTATCATAGACATGGCTGATGCCCCTGCTGCTGCTGGTCTCTCTCTTGGCAAGCCGGAGTACTACCGAGGAGGTGTCAGAGCACTGTAGCCACATGATTGGGAACGGGCACCTGCAGTTCCTCCAGCAGCTGGTGAGTGTGGGGCCGTGACTGTCTACCTTCTCCTCACTGGGGAAACTGAGGCAGGAGCCAGGCAACAGTGTCAAAGGCAAGGGTTGCAGGCAGTGAAGTATGGCTGTGCAGGATGTGGTTTGTGGCTCCCACCTAGCCCCACGGATTCTCTCCTCAGTGACCTTCTCGGGGTCAGGGCCTGTCCAGACCATGGACAGGGTGGGCTTCCAGCCGCTGGCCTGGGTTAATGATCGCCCAGGGTGTCAACCAAGGACTTAGAAAAGGCTTGTGAGGCCTGCGGTCCCTCACTGAGATGCTTCCTCTAGGGAGCCAGCCCAGTGTGTCTGCCTGCTGCATCCAGATGTTGCTTCTAACTCCTGGACTCCCAGATATGCCGCCAACCTGGCACCAGGGCCTCAGCCAGATCTGGAGAGGAGGCTCCAACCTACCTCCCAGCCCTCCGCCCTCACTTTCCTGGCTCTTGCCTGAGCCCCGGGGCTGGGAAGGACTGCTCACCCAGGCCGCCATGGAGGAGCCCGTGCCTTGTTCTAATCGGGCGGGCAGGGATGTCAACAATTCCAAATGTGATTCAGAGAGGCAGAGTCAGGTTACCATGATGGCCGCTGTCCTGCTCAGAAGAGAATTTACCATCCCTCCAGCCGGCCAGGCCGGGTGGGGCAGCACTGGCTAAGGCCAGCTCCTTGGGGCCTGTAGGCTGGGCCTGCTGCCTCTCTTACCGCTATAGTTTTCCTCCTGCACATAGCTGGTACAGCTTTCCCAGGTAGACCAAGAGCCACAGCATTCTCTGAGCCTTAGAATCACAGAACCACTGCTCTGGGGGGGCCAGTGAGGGCTTGATGGACGTCTAGCCCCAGCCCCTATATATTCTGAACCCCCAGAACTTGTCTAGCCTATGCTTGAATTCCCACCACGACAGGGAGCTCACTACCTATCATGGGAGGTTATGCCCAATATCCTCTGAGATAGTTCTTCCTTATAACTAACTGGTCTTTGTCAGATTCATGGAGTGGGAGGTGGAAGGAAGAGACTTCTTCTACAGTCCACGCTGGGCATGTGGGAGGCACAAGTCTTTCCCTTGGCTCTGTCTTTCCCAGTGTGGTTGGTGGGAAGGTAGAAGAGGCTCAAAGACTGATCCAGCCAGGGACTCTAGCCCTCATTCTTAGGTGGGCCCAGTGGAGCTACAGACACCCTGCCACCACTGGCCTGCTCTCTCTTACAGATTGACAGTCAGATGGAGACGTCATGCCAGATTGCCTTTGAGTTTGTAGACCAGGAACTATTGGTGAGTTATGGTTATTTACAAGGCCCAGGTGCCAGCTTCCCGAGGTGGGTATATGTGGGAGCACAGAGTGGGGAGAAATCCTCTACCTGGGCAGGTAGGATTTGAGGGTGGGATGATTGCCGGTGCTCAGTCCTGGGATGCCAGGGTCTGGGGCTGAGCAAGGTCCAGGCCTCAAGTCCCCTGCTGCTCCCTTCTCCTGCCCTGGCACATATCAAGCTCTTACTATGTGCCAGGCACTTTCTAATTTAATCCTGGTGGTACAACTATGTGATCTGCTAATCTTGGTTATTGTCCTCAGGTTGGGTAAGGGAGCACAGCTACTAAGTGGTGGAGGCCTGATTTGAACCCAGGCAGGATGGCTCTAAGGCCTAAGGCACACCAATAGGCCTTCTGCGTCACATGCTTTGCTTAAGGATGTCATTTCCATCCAACAGACAGCACAGCAGCCAGGGAGTTGGTCCAGCCCTTTCCCTCTTCCTCCTACCCCACACCCAGCCAGCCCCCGTGCGCTGCTGTTCTGTCTCCCAGCAGCTCTGGGTTCTGCTCCAGCCTTGCCCAACCAGTTGCCTGGACAGTGCCAAGCGCCTCCTAAGAGGCCTCTCCCCTTCCAGTTGCACCCATCATCCAGCCCGTAGGGGGAGCTCTCGGAACTCCAGCCTATTGCCTTCACTTCCTCTCCCAAACCTGTCCTGGCCCCCCTCGCTGGGGAAGAAAGCCCAGCTGGGTCAGCTTCAGCTTCAGGGGCACATCACCTGGCCCGCCCCCGCCATTGCCCGCCCCTCCCTGCCTCCCAGTGTGTGCACACGCTCCTCCCGTGCCTGTGATGCCTTTCCAACTGCCTGGACCCTGTCCCTTACTGCACATGGGCTCATCCTTGTGCCATATACAAAATCACCGCAGTGCGCCCAGAAGGGGCTCCCATCTCTGAGCTTCTGCCCCCCTGACCACTTCACGGCCCAAAGACTAACTTCAGTATTTCACTCGATCACTCACGCAGAAATGATGGAGCCACGTACTAGGATAGAGAGCTGAAGCAGGCTGTCTGTTGAGGCAACCACCATCCCTCGGGAAGACAAAACACTGAGGTTATTCTTTGTCCCCTCTGGTGTCCTCTAGTTCCCCTGCAGCCTGGAGGTTTAGAAGGACTTTTGTGAGAGCAAGCAAAAAGACAGCAGTTCCCCCAGAGCCCACCCTACCCATGCACCGCCATTCTGATTAAAGCCGCATCTTCCAGAAATCTGAGGAGGTCTCTAATCAGAGCCGCCACTTCCTTCCCTCTACCCCAATTCCAGATCCCAAAGAGACAGAGTGAAAGAGCAGCCAAGGTCAGCACCTCCCTTCTTATACTAGAGTGGCTTGGCCCTCACCCAGGGGCAGGTGTAAGGCAGGCTGCAGCCCTCCATCTGCCAGGATTGGGGACATCTGTCACAGAGCCTGGGTTCCCAGACCACATCAGGTGCACCATCAACTCCCGTTTCTGGTTTTCCAGAAAGATCCCGTGTGCTACCTTAAGAAGGCGTTTGTTCTGATGCAAGACATAATGGAGGACACCATGCGCTTCAAAGACAATACTCCCAACGCCAATGTCATTGTGAAGCTCCAGGAACTCTCTCTGAGGCTAAAAAGCTGCTTCACAAAGGACTACGAAGAGCAGGACAAGGTAGGAGTGTCCTGGGGAGCACTGAGTAAGAGCCCCGGGTGGCTTTGGGGGTACCATCCCTGCCCATACACGCAGAGTGTGTTTGCTTGCCTCTCACCCCGTGTCATTGTTTACTCACTCTCCCATTCATTTATTCACCCTACACACCTCTGCTAAAGACATACCATGCGGGAGACACAGTACTGGGCCTTGACGATGTCTTCGTGAGCAAAAACTACATGGTTCCCACCCTTGTGGAGCTTAGGGTTAGGGGAGACTGGTAACAATTAAACAAACAATGACACAACTATATAGAATTCCAGAGCGTGAGGACCATTCATTCAACAGATAGTTACTGAGTGCCTGTTGTGTGCCAGGTACTGTTCTGGGCACTAGGAAGCAGCTGGGATCAAACCAGACAAAACCCCTCGCATTCATGGAGCTTACTTTGGGAGAGGGCGTGAGACAGTTAACAGAATATATGAGTAAAACAGGGAGGATTTAGGATGGCAATAAGTGCATCCCTGGAAGGGAACACCAGGCAAGAGAAGACCTGAAAGGGGTGAGGGAGGGAGCCATGAAGGAGGCCTCCTGGTGCTCCGAGAGATAAATGGCACTCTCATTTAAAAAGGGAAGGTGGGGGGCACCCGGGTGGCTCAGTGGTTGAAGGTGCGCCTTGGGCTCAGGTCGTGATCGGGGTCCTGGGATCGAGTCCTGCATTGAGTTCCCTGCATGGGGCCGGCTTCTCCCTCTGCCTGTCTCTGCCTCTCTCTGTGTGTGTCTTTCATGAATAAGTAAATAAATAAAATCTTTAAAAATGAATAAATAAAAAGGAGAGGTGAGAGGGAGTGCTGGGCGACTCAGTTGGTTAAGTGGCTGCCTTCACTCAAGTCATGACCCCAGCACCCTGGGATCCAGCCCAGGCCTATGTTGGGCTCCCTGCTGAGGGAGCTGGGCTCTTCCCTCTCCTCCCCGCTCTTGCCCTCTCGCTATTTCTGTCTCTGTCTCTCAAATAAATAAAATCTTAAAAAGGTAAAAGAGGGGAGGTAGGGAAGAAGGGAAGGAGAGAAGGCTTCTGGGCAAGAGAACATTCATTTGAGGTCCAAAGAGGAGTAAGAGGAAGCAGCGAGGCTGGTCAGAGCATTCTAGCCCAGCGGAGGCTGCACACCAAGCCCTGAGGTGAGCACACTCAGAAGCTCAAAAGGCGGGCACCGATCTCGGCTGGTGGCATGGGAGAGCCTGGGAGAGAGGGGAGGCGGCGGGAGCCCGGAGGGATGCACAATGTTGTCTGAGGTGTGTGGTAGCCCTTCAGGGCACAGGAATGGGGGCTGGGAGGCCAGCAGGGGTGCAGGTCTAGGGGGTGCACGGGGAGCCCCGGGAGACAGGCCCCACAGGACTCAGTGGCAGGTGGCGGTGAGCAGCAGAGGGAAGGGGCAGCCCCAGGACCACTCTGTCCTGAGCCCTGCTTGAGGGCCGACTGGGGAGCGGGGAGCAGGAGCTAAGTTTGGGGTACAGGAATCCCGAGATGCTAGAGAGGCAGCCAAGTGGAAATGCGGAGCCGGTAGCTGGGCGCACATGGAGGAGGGGCCCCGACGTCACTACAAAGCCAGGAGGTGTAGGACGTGGCTGCCCGCGAGGGCAGCCCAGAGCCCCGGCCTCAGCAGCCAGGCACAGGGGGGCACCCGGCAAGGGGACCCGGAGGGAGCCGCCTGGGGGCGGGAGGGAAACCCGGCGAGGGTGTCAGGATGGAAGAGCAGTCCCTCTCCCGGGAAGTCAGCGTTGCAGATCCAGTAGTGTGCGGTCGCCGCCAGGGGCAGGTGGCAGCTGGGGTAGGTGGCAGCTGGGGTGCCGGGGTGGGGGGTGCGCCTGCGGAGGAGGGAGAGGTCCCCAGAGCAGGCATGGGATCGCGGGAGACAACATTTTCACAGAGAGGTGTTAAGGTTCAGACATATCACTTGGGGAGCTTGTTTAAATTCCAGATTCCCAGTCTACACCCCTAAAGGTCGGACTCACTGGGTCTGTGGGTGGGCCTGGGAATCTGCATTTTCACCAGCCGCCCGTGGTGTGAGAGCAGTGAGGTGCACTCGAGAAGGGAGGGAGCCCCAGAGGTGAGAGGAGCCAGCCCCACGAGAGGAGAAGGCTGGGCCAGGGTTCAGAGCCACTGAGGAGAGAAGGCGCCGCCTCCGTGTCATAGGTGGGCACCTGGCAGGTGCGTCTGTCTGATGGTTGCCGCTTTCTCATGGTCTGCTTGGCCGGTGCCACCTAGCTGATGGTGGTGCTGAGCCCAGTCTTCTCATGCCTGTGTCCATTCATTCATTTGGCGGGTCACCATTGATCAGGGGCCTGCTGTGCACAGGCCGTGAGCATTCAGAGATGGCTTGGGACTCCACGGCCAGTGACGCTTGGGGTCCTTCCCTGTGCAGCTCGGTCGGTGTAAGGGAAACTTGGTACTTGAAAGTCATGGCAAGGAGGCCGCAGATGAAGCGGTGGGCATGTGTGGCACCTTCTGGTGTGAAAGGAGAGATGGTTCCAGGACGGTTTGGAGGAATGCCAGAATTTATAAATCAGGTGGAGGAGGGGAGCCTGGGAAGGAGACGGAGGAGCAGCTCAGGAGGTGGGAAGGAAACCAGGAGCATGCGAAGCTTCTCAGAGTTCCAGTGGGTGTAGGGAGCCTGGGTCCTACACGCGGAAGAGAACAGAACAGCTCAACAGGCAGGACTGGGACAGCTTCAGAGGCCAGAGAAGGACCCACAGCCCCCTGGCTTGCTCCACAGCACAGCGGGATGAGTCTTCTAAAACTTAAGTCTTACCGTACCACCTCCCCCAAAAGCCCCTCAGATGTTATATATTTGCTTTGTGGATCAAGTTAACAGGTTTTGACACCTGCAGAACCTGGTCTTTGCTGACCTCTCTCAGGATCTCTTGCCACTTTCATCCTCGATGGCACTACTGTAGCCCCTCTAGCCGTCCTTTAGTCTTTTGACATTATAGGCTCTTTCCTGCCTCAGGACCTTTGCACAGTCTGTTTCCACCCCAATGGGACAGCTCTCTCCAACTCCACGTCCTTTCCGGTTGACTCCTGCTCATTTATCAGCTGGTTCCATGACAAAACTCCCCTTGAGCCCTATGTTCCCCTTGTTATTGTTTTTTAAAGATTTTATTTATTTATTCATGAGAGACACAGAGAAAAAGAGAGAGAGGCAGAGACACAGGCAGAGGGAGAGGTAGGCTCCATGCAGGGAGCCCGATGCGGGACTCAATCCCGGGTCTCCAGGATCATGCCCTGGGCTGAAGGCAGACGTTCAACCACTGAGCCACCCAGGTGTCCCCTGTTCCCCTTGCTGTACATTCTCAGATCATTCCACACTTTTCCATGTGACTCACTGCACTTGTAACGGTGTGTTTAATGCCAGTGCCTTGCTGGACTCAGTGTCCAGCTCAGCCAGTGACCACGTCTCTGGTGTTCGTTGCATGATTCCCAAATAATTGCCATATGCCTGGCACACAGATACGTGTTAAATGGATCTGCGAATACATAACAAATCTCCAGATCTCAGGACTGATTCCACCACATACCAAGGGTGAGGGGAGGGAGAAATGAAAGAGAAAAAGAAGACAGATGTGAGAAAGGCCAAGGGAGTTTGGCAAACATGCTAGAGACATGGGCCACGGCCCATCCTCACTGAAGGGGTGGGGTGCTTCTCTCTTTCCAGGCCTGTGTCCGGACTTTCTATGAGACACCCCTGCAGTTGCTGGAAAAGATCAAGAATGTCTTTAATGAAACAAAGAATCTCCTTAAAAAGGACTGGAACATTTTCAGCAAGAACTGCAACAACAGCTTTGCTAAGTGCTCCAGCCAAGGTAAGCACCAGAGGGCCCAGCGAGTGCAGGACAAGGGGAGGGTGTAGGGAGCCGAGCCAGGATGAGGAGGTGAGATGTGGGGGCCAAAGGGACCCTGGGGAGGCAGCCTGGCTGCTACTCGTGCTCCTGTGTGTGTAGATGTGCTTTTCTTGTGTACACGTGTGGCTTCATGTACCTGTGGGCAGTCCTGAGCACATGTCTTTTCTGACATGTGTGTGCATGCACACCGAATATGTCTGCATGTGGAGGCATCAAGAAGGATCTCGCTGGTGGCTGTGAGATGAGGGATGGGGAATGGGGCCCCTCTCAGAGAGCCCTGTAGGCACGGAGGTTTTCCCCACGGGCACTGCAGGCTGGCTGAACGTACAGGGGCTTCCGTGGAGAGAGCCGGGCTTGATCTGGGAGCCAGGGCCCTTGCGCCAGGAGCCCTGCTGCGAAGCACCAGGAGACCCTGGCTTCAGACCTCCCCAGGATGCCTTGAGTGTCCCCTCAAGGGAAAAGGCTGGATTTGAAGTCTGAGCATCGTTCAAAGTCTCCCAGTGCAGGCTCAGCCGCACACATGGGTACCCTGCGTGTCCTCGTCTCTGCGTCCTGTGCCACGTTGCCCTCCTACATTCAACCTTGCTCCCTGAGGCAGGGGCTGAGGCCCTGCGACCTGCCAGTGGCCGAGTCCAGTCTCGTGGCTTCAATCCCAAGGCCTCAAGTCTTGGGCACGTTCCAGCCCCAGCTTGATCTCGCCCGTGGCTGTGGCTGTGTGGCCCCTGGCTGTGCATGAAACCACCTTGCTGCTTTCCAACCAACACTGTCTCTGCGACTTGAGGGTGACTTGTGGTGGTCCCAGAGGCCACTTCTCAACCTCTTGGCTAGCTGCTGCTCGATCCTGGCATGGCGCCTAGCCAGCTGGAACTCCAGGAAAGGCCCTTCCCTGGTCTTCACTCACCCTGGCCCCCAGACTGTGCCTCTCAACCCCACTCTTTGCTCTCTGCCTGTGACCCTACAGTGTCTGTCCCTTCACTGCCTGAGGCCTGTGTCGTGAGCACTGGCTCCAGTCCTGTACTCTCCTGAGCCCCAGGGCTGAACTGGGGCATGAGGGACCCCCAGACCCACATCCCCCTGGCACCCCCCTTCCCCCGGGAAAGCTGTGCTGAAGGCTGGTGACTCTATCTCCTCCCTGTCTTTCTCTCTCCCTCTTTCTGTGGTTCTTTCAGATGTGGTGACCAAGCCTGATTGCAACTGCCTGTACCCCACAGCCACCCCTAGCAGTGACCTGGCCTCTGTCTCCCCTCAGCAGCCCCTTGCCCCCTCCATGGCCCCTATGGCTGGCTTGACCTGGGCCGACTCTGAGGGGACAGAGGGCAGCTCCCTCTTGCCCAGTGAGCAGCCCCTCCGCACAGTGGACCTGGACCCGGGCAGTGCCAAGCAGCGACCACCCAGAAGCACCTGCCAGAGCTTTGACTCTCCGGAGCCCCCAGGTGTGGAGGCCAGCCCCGCCGGAGATTCACTTCAGGCCCTGCCCTCTGTCAGGGCCCCCGTCCCTGGGATGGAAGACGTTCTGGACTCTGCATTGGGCACTAACTGGACCCTAGAAGAGGCCTCTGGAGAGGCTAGTGAGGGTCCCACGCTGCAAGGGGCAGAGCTTTCTCCCTCCAGGCTGGGAGGAGGCGGAGGCCAAGCCCAGACGACTGCCAGGCCCGGGGACCTCTTGTCAGCATCTTTTCTGCTGTCCTACTCAGCCGGGGGCTGGCAGCCAGGGGACGTGCCCGGCCTACCCCCGCCCACGGCGGGCCCTGCGAGACCCACTGGCCCGGCCCAGAGTCGCACGCCTGAGAAGACCGAGCGACTGTCTGCCGCGCCCGGAGACCATCAGAAGCCAGGCCCTGCCAGGACCCCGCCACGGCCCCCGAGAGGCCTCGGCAGCCCCGCAGCCCGCTCCGAGCAGCCAGGGCTCCCCAAAAGGCTCTCCTGGGGCCGTGCGCTGCCCCTCGGGGACGTGGAGGGCAGAAGGAGCACCCGGGGCCGCAGGAGCCCCGCGCAGCCGGAAGGAGGACAAGCGAGCGAGGGGGCGGCCGGGGCCCTGGCCCACTCTAACGCCGTTCCTTTGACTGACGCAGGCCACGAGAATCAGCAGGAGGGACCCTCTGGCCCTCAGCTCCCCAGGTTTGCCTTCCGCCTCCTGGTGCCCAGTGTCATCCTGGTCCTGCTGGCCGTTGGTGGCCTCCTGCTGTACAGGCGGAGACGGCGGGTAAGGGGAGCCCCCGAGAGAGGAGGGTGGGTGGGGGCACAGCCCAGGTGGAGGAGCGGGGCAAACGCGTCAGGGGATTCCTTGGGCTCTGCCCGGGTTCTTCAGGTGCCAAGACAGGAGGCCACCTGAACATAGGACAGAGGAGGTTGAAATGGAGGGTTTCTTCAAAACTGGGGGAGACCCAGGCTATAAGGCCAACGGGAAGGGACCAGGAGAGAATATTCTCGGGCTGAGAGTGGAAGAGAACCCACTGGTGAGGGAGCCAGCAGAGGAGGGTGATGCTGTGCCAGCCTCAGGGCGGGGCGCTCGCTGGGAGCTCCGCAGAGCCTGGGCCCAGCGACCCCTGGGGTAGGAAGCAGCCTGTGTGAGGAGCGGAGTGGGGGCACCACCAGCAGGGAGGCCTCACGAAGCTCTCCTGGCCCTGCGGCTCATCTCCACGTCTGGGTAGCTGGGGGAGACTTCGATAACTGTCATCTACTCCCCTGGGCAACCCTGCCTGGGGGTGAGGCCACAGTCCCCACATGATCCCTGGCTCCTCCACGAGCCTGCTCTTTGCGGTCTGTTCCCAGAGTCATCGAGAGCCTCAGGCAGCGGATTCTCCTGTGGAGCAACCAGAGGGCAGGTGAGAGTTCGAAGGGGGTGGGGATGCTCAGGAAGGCATGGGGGTGTGGGGGGCTGGGGGGGGCTGGCTTGGCATCTGTTTCCCTTCTAGATTTGAGGGAGACTTTCACTTGCTCTGAGGAAGTGGAGCTCAGAACAGGATAGGAGGCAGGGAGGAGGAAGGGCGTTTCTTCTTTCCTAGCTATCTGGGATTTTTGCCAATTTCTCCTTAGGGTTAGGCAGTTCTGACTGGAGCACATGCCACCCTCTGAGGGACAAACTTAAGGGGTTTCCTCCTCCTCAGCCTCTGCTGAAGCCTTATGCCAGTCCTATGCTCTACCCGCAGCCCCCTGACCCAGGATGAGGAGAGACAGGTGGAACTGCCGGTGTAGGGGCGTTTCTAAGGTAAGACTGATTTGGATCTCTCTCCACCCCTTAAAATTAGCTACCCCCTTTCCAATTACCCAGGCTGGCTGATACTACCAACTTCCCTGAGGCCCACACTTGACTCCCTCCCCTCCTACTCCCTTTTCTATCCATCACTGATCCCGCCAACTGTCTCCTTTTGGGGTCCTCAGGTCTCCACACCACCGCCGCCCCCAGCCCCCTGCCGGTCTGAGGCCAGGCACTATCACCTGTGCATCCGGTTATTATTTCTGTATTCAGCTTCTAGTCTTGCTGCCTCCTTCCATTCCAGAGAACCAAAAGCTTGCCTAGAGTCTTTACCCTCCTAGGGAATTTGCATCCCCATTCACTTCAAACCCGACATTCTCAGCTGGCTCCCAGGCTCCTCCAGCAGCCGCCCCTAACACCCACCTCTTGCCAGCTTTCTATTGCTCTGCACCCTATCTGAGCCTTCTCCCCAGCCAGGATCATTTCTATGTCCCTGCTTTTATTTTATTTTTTAAGCTTTTATTTATTTATTCATGAGAGACACAGAGAGAGAGGATGAGGCAGAGGGAGAAGCAGGCTCCATGCAGGGAGCCCGATGTGGGACTCAATCCCCGGACCCAGGATCACGCCCTGAGCAGGAGGCAGATGCTCAACTGCTGAGCCACCCAGGTCTCTCTCCATGTCCCTGCTTTTAGATTCATGGATCCATAGAGCCTTAGTCTTGGAAAGGCTCTTAGAGGTCATTTGGCCAGCATCCTACCCTATAGGGGTCTCCTGTCTCTGCGCCCCTGACATGGGGTCAGCCAGCTGCTGAGCCCTGGGCCCCCAGTCCCAGGCAAGCTCCCTGCCGTCTCCCAGGAGTGCTGTGAGGACATCTTTCCATGAGTGAGCTTCCCTGCCCCCTCCGTGATGGTCCTCCCTTCTATTCTCATGAGAGCCTCTAGTGTCTCAGGTCAGTTATCCATATCCCTATTAAGAATTCTCTAAGCTAAGTGTGGCCAAGTCCCTCAAACATTCCTTATATGATATGGTTTTCAGACCCCTCACCATCCTGGTCGCCCTCTGGATACACTCGTTTGTCAATGTCCCTCTGAAAATGTGGCACCCAGCCCTGGACACAGTGCTCCAGATGTTGTCCGACCAGCTCAAAGTACAGTTGGACTGTTACCTTCCTTGATCTGGACAATATTCTTCTATTCATGCAGATTCAGATTGAATTAGTGTTGTGTTTTGTTTCCTTAACAGATGCATCATACTGTTGTCATATGTTGAGCTTGTGGTCTATTAAAACCCCTAGTTCCATTTCCCATAAACCTCTGGCAAGCCAGGCTTTCTGTCCCGTACTTGGACAACTTAGTTTTTTAACCAGGGTACAGGAGTTTATGTCTGTTCTTGTTAAAACCACGTTTTTGGTTTCTGCCCATCACTTGAGCAAGTGGAAATTGTTTTAAATCCCAAGTCTGGCTTCATAGCCCTCCCAGGTGTGTCCCCTGCACATTGGTCAGTGCCTTCTATGGGCCTCACCCATGTTGTTGGTAAAGATGTGCCCTTTATCATTCCTCATCCTCAGCTCCCTGATTCTAGACAGCTCCCACCACCACCACCTCCTGTTCTTCCAGATTGCTTCCAACACCGGCTGGTAGCTTATCAGTTCCTACTCCTCAGTTCTTTTGTATTTGGTTAATATATATCAATTTTCACTCATTTGGATGTTGTTTTTATACATTTTAAAACCTTCTTTTATGTGTATATGTACATTCTGCATCCCTAAGAAGGCTGTAAGCCCCTTGAGGGCAGGGACTATGTCTTCCCCCCTTTTTTTTTATTTTGCATTTTTTTCTGTCCCATGTTCTAATACAGAGAGGGCTTCTCCATACTTGCCAAAAACTCAATAAATGTTGACTGGATTGGCTTAAGGGTTGACTGACCACCTGACCCTGGCCAGCTGTCTCTAACTGACCAGCCTTCTGGGTTGTCCATTAACCAGCTAACTAATCGATTCTGTCTGACTGGCTGATCAGCTGGCTAGATGACTTTAGCTGAGTAACCAACTAGCTGGTAACTGCTTAATAGGCTGGTTATTGATTGGTGAGTTGACTGGCTAACTGATTAGCTGGCTAATGGCTTGGTTTGCTGATTGGCTGGCCGGCCAACTAGCTGGGGGTAACCCATTTGAGTTTCCAGTCACTCCCTATGCCAAAAGCAAGTGAGCGTCTTAAGGTCTTTCCATGTGTGCAGTGACAAGTCTGGGCCACTTCTAGACAGAAGAGGGACATAACGAACGCTCAAAAAACCAGGGGAGCCTATTTAGAAAAGAACACAAAGCAACACAGGGTGGGCTAAGATGGGTGAGTGGGTCAGATGGGACACTGGCAGGGCTGTAAGGATGATCCAGACCTCCTCAGGACTGGTAAAGCAGAGGAGGCACCAAGGTCCACAGAGACTCCGTGTAGCTCAGGGCTGTGCCTACCTCTGACTGGTTGCCAGCCTCGCCCCTTGGTCTTGGCCCTCTGCCCCATCTCCTCCACACTCCTACTCTGCTTCCCCTGCCTGTCTCTTCTCAAGCCCTGACAAGCTTTTCTCTTCCTCCCCTCAAGATTTCACTTAGAGAGAGAACCCAGGGCAGGGGCCACATCCAGACCCCGCTTGGATCACTAGGTCCAGCCCAGGCCCCAGGAGCTTCAGGAGCTTCAGGGCCAGCCCTTAGACTATCTACTGCTCTGATAAGAGAAAGGAAAACACAGAGGCAGAGAGCCTGCTAGAGGGACGGTCAGAAAGAAGACAGACACGAGCCCCCTACTCCCAGGAGTTGGGACATAGGGGCAGTGAAGCTCACCCATTTGGCCCTTCACTCCACCTAATCCCAGCAGGTCCTAGGGCCCAGTCCTAGGGCCCAGCTATACCCAGCATGGCTCGTGTCCAGTTTATGGTTCTCCCTTCTTCCCCCTCCAGAGCATGGGAATGGGCTGGGAGCCAGAAGCTGTGGTCCCATCTGCCCTTCTCGTCCATTATGGACTTTGCCAGTAGGGCCTATGGATGGTTAGGGAGGGAAGCTCCACACAGGATCCAAAGTTGCACGGTTGGATGGAGTCCAGGGGATTTCTGTTCTGGGAACAAAGCCTTCTGAGGATGCTGGGCAAAGGACAAGGATGGGGGTGGGGTTGGAAAGAGCAGGGCCCTGATTCCCATGGATGATGCAGGGAGGCAAGTCCTTTGGTCCATCAGGAAGGAGGTTGAGTTGCTTCAGGGTTAGCATACCACATGGCAGGATGGGAGTTTCCTTGTTCCAGAACTGCCTCTAGTTCTTCCTCTTAGTTACCTATGATCTGCTATCCCGAGTGTCATGTGTGATGACCCCTCATGATGAATGGTGTAGAGGGGGGAATGAGAAAGTCTTCTTTGCTGGAGTTAGCAGGAGTCACCCTAGGTTCATTGGCCCAAGGCCAGCGAGATGGTCTAAGGACTCTTCAGGTGCACCTTCCCTCCCTGTCAGACTCCTCCACTTGAGCGGTGGCCAGTCCCCTCTCCCAGCCCTGCTTAGGCCACTACCAGGTCCCATTACCTCCCCTTGCGGTCCCTTGCTCCCCAGGAGGAGGTAGGAGGTGAGGCCAGTCTGGCCAGAGGTCTGGGCTGCTGCCAGGAAAAGCCGCCTGGTCCCTTGTGGTGTCTGGGGTGGCTGGGAAGGCGAGGGAGAAGATGGGAGGAAGTCCTGCCTGAAGCACCACCAACAGCCCACAGGAACGCTGTGCCTCCCCCACTCATGTCCTCAGTGACCCCTCCCTCCACTCCCACTCGCTGACTGGCCTTTCTTTCTCTCCTGTACAGCTGGGCGCACAGGACAGTCTCTCCATGGGAGGAGACCTTATGGGGGTGTCCACCACCACCCATCCCCAGCCATTCTCCTGGGAGTATGGCCTGCCCACCACAAGAGCTCTTGCCTGCCAGGACTAGACCAGAGCAGCAAGGCTGGGGTCCCTCTGCCCTCGCCCCCTCAGACTGGACTGACTAGGAGAGGGCTGGAGATGCTCCCCACGCTGCTGATATTTATCGTGGGCCCTGGAGGCGCCCACCCACTGGAGGAAGGTGAGGAAGCTCGGCCGAGGACCCTCTGCACCTCGGGGACTGTGTCCTGCTGCATCTCCCCTCCAAGCCTCGCCCGGGCCAGGGACCCAGAGGCCCTAGGCTGTGGGAGTGCAGGGTGGGCACCGAGGCTCAGAGGACCGCCTGGTGCCAAGGGGTCCCGACGCCAACAAGCAGGGACTTGTCTCCAGAGAGAAGCCAGAGGTAGGCAGGGCGGCCGGCGGCCGGGTTTCCCTGAGGCGTGCAGCCCAAAGCCGGAAGGGAAGGCCTGCGCCACTGGGCTCACCCACCTGCTTGCCCGGTGCCCCCGCCGGCTGCGCAGCTCTGCCCCGGACCGTGCGGCTTGGCTCCGCTGCCAAGGGCAGGCCAGCTCTGGCATCTGCGCCGCCGCCCCAGCCCTGCCAGGGCCCCGGGGGCGCCGAAGCCCATGAAGAGGCCATTGCACTGTGAACCCCGAACCTGCCTGCTGAACAGCCGCCCAGCCCTGCGAGTGCCACTGTCCGGCTCCACGTCTGGGCCAGGGGCCGCCCGCCCGGCCGGAGCTGGTCTTCAGGCTGTGTCGCTCACAGGTTTCTGCATCTTGCACTTTGATGTCCCTAGGGGGAGGTGACAAGCGGGAGGGAGGAGGCGGGAGCGCATAGGCCCACGGGGGCTTCGCTGCCCACCGACTGCCCAAGGGTCTCTGCAGGCCTGGGCATCCTCCGAGCTGGGGGAGGCGTCCGCGCCCCGGCCGCAGCCTGGCCCCCTTCCCCATGCGGCCCGGCCCCGTCCCAGCAGCAGGCCTCACTCCAGCCTCCCAGCACAGCGCCGCTCCCGTCCCCTTCCTGCCCTCTCTTCCCCACCGTCCCCGGGGAGGCAGGGATCCCCCCAGCCCGGCCCCTACACTGTGTCTCCCACCGGGCCACAGGCCAGCCATGACGGAGAGGGACCAGGCAGCTGGAGTCCGCCTGAAGCCTCAGCTTCCTGGGCCGGCCCGCGGCCACTGCTCTGAGAGCTGGCGGTCGGTGATGGGGCCGATTGCCCGTGGTCCTTTTGTGCTGCTGTGTCTCTCCTCTCCTGCTGCCCTGGGCCCTCCACCGAGAGATGCCACCCTTCCTGGCCGCTAAGCCGGGGCCCATGAACTTTCCTTCCTGCCCTCAAAAGCGGGGGTCTCGTGGCTCCTGCCACCCCGGCCCTGCTGCTCTCAGCTGAAGGGGAGGCAGCTGGGAACTTGCCCTGTGGGGCTCCTTCTAGTCTCAGACTCTATATTTGATGCTAGAAAATATGTATTTAAAAGGGAAAGGGAAAAAAAAACACAGAAAAAAGGCATTCCTCCCCCACCCCAAACATATAGTATTTTAAAAGTCAAGAAAGCAAATCCAACCCACTGCAGAAGTTCTTTGTGGGCACTTGGTGACACAGGCGTAGGAGGGGCCCCAGCCCTCTGGGTGGCTCCCCTGGCTACCTGCACAGGAATCCCTTCGTTGAGAAAGCTGAGAGGGAACATTGGCTCACACACTGTGAGATTTTGTTTTTATACTTGGAAGTGATGAATTATTTTATATAAAGTCATTGAAATATCTATTTAAAAAATAGGAAGCTGCTTTTATATTTAATAATAAAAGAAGTGCACAAGCTGCCACGTGTGAGTCATGGCAAAGGTGCTTTTAGGGTGTGGGTGGGAAAAGTGGGGGTGGGCGGGCAGCAGTTGCTGGGCGAGCCCCAGCTCAGGAAGCTTTTTCTGGGGTACATGGGGAAGGAGGGTTCTCTCCAAGTGTCAGTCTCGTTACCAAAACCTGCATCATTGCTGTCCCAAACACATTCAACAGCAGATCTGTTTCGGGGAAAGTAGACAGGAACCAGCCAAACCTCAGGCCTGGCCAGTGGCCCTTGCTCCAGCCCAGCCTCGCCCAGCCTGGGAAAATGGCTGGTTGGGCTCTGTCCAAGGGCCCTAGGCCTGCAAGGACCAGGCTCCTTGACCACTGCCCCCTGCTATCCCCTGCTGTCCAGAGGCAGGTGGCTGTGTCCTAGCAGGGCTCAGGTGGATGAGTGCTGCCTCGGCTAGGAAGTGGGTAAAGCAGGCAGGGGGACAGCCAGCAGGCTTTGGGAAGGGCCTTAGCGCCTAAATCTTCCCACTGGGCATTGTAGCTTGAGGGGTAGAGGGGTGTTGAGGAAAACCCAAACACTCCCCCTAAGTAGCCCTGTGAAACCGGGGCCTCCCCACCTGTGAGTGTGGGGAACACAGCTTCAGATCAGAGGTTCTCAACCCTGGCTCCTGTGAGCATCACTTGAGTTGTTTCCAAAAATACTGATACTCAAATGCCACCCTAGATCCACAAAAGCAGAATCGCAGGGGTAAGGCTCGGGCACGGGGCATCAGAAATTTTGGAAGACATCTTAAGTGATTCAAATGTGATCCAGGGTGAGAAGCACACAGAGGTGCATGTCTAACATGGTGACCATTTAAGTTCAAATGGCTTAAAATGAAATAAAAGTAAACATACAGTTCTTCGGTCATGCTAGCGACATTTCAAAGGCTCACTAGCCACACACATGGCTACTGTGCTGGAGAGTATGGAAACAGAACCTTGGCGCCATCGCCGAAAGCTTATTGGACACTGCTGACTCAAAAGGTCGGGTCCTTGCACTTAGGAGACCAAGGTTATGGGGCCAGGACTGACCTCAAACAAACTTGGTCAGGGACTAAGTGCCCAGGTGCCTCTGTCATCCCTCTTTGTCCCCTTAACCCCCACAACCACCCTATCCCTCATCATTTCCTTCAAGCATTTCCCGTAATTTATTAAAAACTCCTCAGAAAGGATTTTTGAAGAAACTTACTTGTATTTTTTCCTTCAAGTCCCAATGCAAAAGTCACCTCCTCCGAGAAGCCTTCCCAGCCCAACGCCAGTCCCTGAGACCCACCTAGGCTTAGTTCCCTCCTCCCCTGTGCTCCCACAGACTGAGAACCTGGAAATGTGTCTGTCTGTCCCACTGGACCATGAACAGTAGCAGGAACTGTTTTGCAACCCTCCTTGCATTCCAGTGCCCAAGAGTATCCTGTATACAGTGTAAATGTTTAATAAATGCATGTCAAAAGGTTAATGCTGAACGTTTGAATGAGGGCATAATAATGCAAATTGCAACCAGAGTTCACAGGTGTCCTTTTCTAGGGCCTTGCTTGTATCAACCGATGGAATGTATATCAATCAACTATACTAATTCATTAGCCAAGCAGCGGGACGTTCGCCAGAAGGTTCTCCCTAGCTTCTGATGGAGACGAGGTTAGGTTAGAACCCCAACTAATCACTGGGCTGTGAATGGAATGGATACTTCAAGGCAAAGGATTGACAAAAAAAAAAAAAAGAAGAAAGAAAGAAAGAAAGAAAGAAAGAAAGAAAGAAAGAAAGAAAGAAAGAAAGAAAGAAAGAAGAAAGAAAGAAAATCACCCCAAAACCAAAAAACAAACCAAACAAGAAAAAACACACTTGCCCATCACTGCCTTTCCAGAAGACCCAGAAGGCATCCAGAAAAAAAGGCCAGAGAATCTCAGCAGGGCTTTCCTGGGTTTCCCAGGCTGCAAGTGGCTGCTTGAGAAGGGTATCTATGGAACAACAGTTACTTTGGATTCAGAGCAGGAAAAGGTAGGTAGTTTGCTTGGATCCCTTACTGCCCAGCAGTATGGACTTGGGCGAGTGTGTAAATCCCTGACCTTCAGCTTTCTCCTCATTCTTAGAACTGGTTTCGGATACAAGCCAGGCCTACCTGGTCTGAGAGGACACATCGGAAAGGACGGTGTGGACTCCTAAGGGCTGTGCCCAAGTAAAGCGTGTTCTGGTGCTGCCCTTGCCAAATAGTCCCACGGGGCTCAGGCTAAACACAGCTCCCCTCTGGACAGGCACTGGGGAGCCAGGAGGCCACCACCCCCGGACCCCTCTCAGCTGAAGGTGGCAGAGCTGGATGCTCCCCAACTGGGAGAGGATTCTGATACCTTGTAGCTCAGGGATTTCTGATTGGAGGCAGGAGGCAGGTAGGAGACCCCGGGGAAGGCGGCCCTGGAGGCAGTAGGTGCCAGTCAGCAGGCAGGGTCAGGAACTTTGTCTTTGAGTAAGTGAGCAGAATGGCCCAGCCAAACCTCAAACCATTATCCGGCCAGAGATAGGAAAGTGAATCAGAGGCGACCAGAGACCAGGAAGAGGCCTGAGGTTAACCTTGTACAGACTGCGGGCCATGGCGAGGAAGGAGCTGGTGCGGGATGCCTGGGGTGGGGGTGGGCGTCTGACGACCCCTTGAACAAGGTGCTAGAGTGATTAAGGCAGGGGCGGTGTCCAGGTCAGCATGGGGAAAGAGCCCACATTCCCCTATTCCAGCGAAGTCCCCACCTGCCTTAGCACATTCGCCCCCTGGTTTCCCACTTCACTTTCTGGGAAGGGGAGATAACCAGGTTCTGCTGGCCTGGCTGCTGGGACTGCTGAGGGAAGACGGTGGAGCACACCACTCGGGAAAGCTCCATGGCAAAGTGACTGACCCACAGAGAGGCTCACTCTGAGGCCTGCAGGGCTGTGGCTGCTGTGGCCCCATCTCTGGTGTGAGACCACAGGAAGACCCACAGGTTGACGACCCCCATGGCCCTGTGCAGAGTCCACACTGAGGCGGCTCTGGGACAGGGTGGCAGTGGGGTGGGAGAGGTTACAGATGGGGGTGGTAGAGGAGAGTGGGTCAAGGGAGTTGTTCAAACAACCCCTGGAGGAGAGCTGGGTGACACCCCCATGATGGACTTCAGCCGCTCCTGCCCCCAGGTCCCAGCACTGCTCTGATGCCTTGGACACCTGCCCCCAGCTACCTTGCTAATTAGCCCCTTCAAGTATGTGCATCTAATGAGGTCTGTGAAGGCTACAGCCTCATCTTCATTTACTCATTCGTTTCCCCATGTATTGCTAGACACTGAGCACAAAATAGGGAGCAAAAGAGTCAGTGAGGGAGACAGGCATTAGTCAGTTACACAAATAAGTATCTAACCATGAAACTGAAACAGAGGTAGGCAGATACAGGTTATGGGAGAGCCTGTAACAGGGGACGTGACCAAGGCTGCAGGCCATACAGGCTTTCAGAAAAGTCAAGGCAGAGAAAGCCATAGCATTTCGAGCAGTGCAGTGTGGTTTATTTCTCTTCCTTTTCCAACACTGCCAACAAGATGACTAGCTTTCACTGACTAATTGCCTGGTGTGAGTGAGGCACTCTATAAAATTGCAATCTCATTCCATCCTACAATAGCCCATGAGTGGGTGCTAATATGCTCCTTTTATAGATGTAGAAACTAAGATTTAGAGACTCTTAAAACTTGGCTATGGCCACAGCAGGTGGTAAGTGGCAGAGCCTAGCTTTGAACCCCGATCTGGCTATTTTCAAAGTCTTGTCAGATCACACTCTAGTAGGCATCTAACAGGTGCTTGTTACACAAATGGACACTTTGTGCCAGTTGGGCAGGTTTTCAGGGTCCCCCAGGGCCTTAGCAACTTCCTTCTTCTCCTGAGAAGGATTGTTTAGGCTGGCACTGGGCAGGGGTACCTGTGATAGATCCCTACTCAGATTCGTATTTGGCCCTGCTGCTAACCCCACATGTACCAGGAAAGGGGGAAGGGCCCTTCCAGGGTGATGTGCCCACTGCCTGGGCCTCTGGGAAAGGCCCTTCTTGACTCCCAATTCCCTCACTGACTTCCTTTGGCTAGATCTTTTGTGATCCTTGTGTTTGCTTCCTGCCCACCCTTTGGGTGTCTCCTGGGCCCCTGGCCCAGGAGACATCTGGGCACTGATCGCTTTAGCTGGCAGCAGGCTTTGATATTATTCTTATTTTGCTTGATCATGACCTTCTTGGGAGAAGAGACTGGAAATTTGCTCACCATACAACCTGTCAAATCTCCAGAGGAGATAGTCATAGGCTGGCATTGCATGAGCAAGGCTGAATCAGGATCACTGAGTGTGACATCTGCAGGTTCAACACACTCTAGTCATTCTGGGGAGAAAGGGAAAGGGCTAAGGACATAACCCTCCCTCTGCCTGTAATATTGGGGGAGCTTCAGAGGCATCATTATCAGAAAACACTGTGGACACTTAATCCACATTGGTTTTCCTCAAATGAGCTCCATGCTCACATGCAAGAAGCTCTAACTATACTCTCCCAAAGAACAGCTTTAGTCTTGAAGAGAATTTGGCCCAAGGCCTATGCTATGTTTGGAATATTTTACTATAGCAGCCATAACAACAAACCCTGGAGAGGGGGTAGAAATCAGATTTCCAGAGTTGATGCATTATATTCTTTTGAAAACCTAGTTCTAACAACAACAAATTACAAGGTGTGCAAAGATGTAAGAAAGTTAGTCCTTACATGAGGGGATAAAAAGCAATCAAGAGAAATCATACCCAGGGAAACACGGACATTGGAGTTACTAGGCAAAGTAACTAGGCAAAAAAAAAAAAAAAATCAAGTTTTTTTAAAGTGTGTTCAAAGACTACAGGAAACCAGGTCTAAAGAACTAAAGGAAGGGGTGCCTGGCTACCTCAGTTGGTGGCACATGTGACTCTTGATCTTGGAGTTGTCAGTTTGAGCCCCACATTCAGTGTGGAGATTACTTAAAAATAAATT